TCACACAAACAAACGCACTAACAGCGCCGTAATTGGGTGAGTCAGCACTCCATTGCGCCCTTCCCCCCTCCTCCTCCCCTCCCCCCTCCCTCCCTTCCGCGCTCTTTCGCTTTTTCTTTCGTCGCGTCTCTGTGGTGTCTACGTCTGCGTCTATTTGGAAGATTTATGTTTGCTTTTTTCCTTGTTTTGTTTTTTTGTCTGTCTGTGTCTGTCTGTCTGTCTGTCTGTCTGTCTGTCTGTCTGTCTGTCCTTGTCAGTCTCTGTTTCTTTCCGTTTTTCTCTTCTCTCTGTCCCTCTCACTTCTTCTGTAGCCCCTTCTCTATATATGTTTGGCTAATAATAATTCAATCATATCGGTCTTTCTCTCTCTTCATCTCCAGTCGTTTCCTTCCTCTACTCTCCCTCTATCCCCTCTTATTCTCTCTCTCTCTCTCTCTCTCTCTCTCTCTCTCTCTCTCTCTCTCTCTCTCTCTCTATCCATCCATCCTTTACTTTCCCTCTCTCTCTCTCTCTCCTTCCCCCTACTCCTCATCTCTCTCCCTCATCTCTTTTCTTTCTCTCTTTCTCTTTCTCTCTCTGTCTCCCCTTCCCCCTTTTCTCTCTGTCTCCCCTTCCCCCTTCTCCCTCTCTCTCCCCTTCCCCCTTCTCCCTCTGTCTCCCCTTCCCCCTTCTCCCTCTCTCTTCCCTTCCCCCTTCTCCTTCTGTCTCCCCTTCCCCCTTCTCCCTCTCTCCCCCCCTTCCCCCTTCCCCCTTCTCCCTCTCCCCCCTTCCCCCTTCTCCCTCTCTCTCCCTTTCCCCCTTTTCCTTCTCTCTCCTCTTCCCCCTTCTCCCTCTCTCTCCCCTTCCCCCTTCTCCCTCTCTCTCCCCTTCCCCCTTCTCCCCCTCTCTCCCCCCTTTTCCCTCTCCCTCAGCCGCATTCCCTCATCTCCCCCTCTCCCGTCTCCTCCTTATCAAATACAACACACCGCGCGTCACCCCCCCAACCTGAACCTCCTCCGCTACTTAAAATCCAACGACAACTCTTATCAACTTGTTCGTCCACTTAAGTACCTCCTCGTTCTCCAGCCTTCTGCGAGAGTCAAGGTTGTTCTTTGTTCAACGGTCTTCCACTGGCGACTCAATGAATCATGTTCAGAAGTGACCAAGCGCTTCCTGTCATTATTATTACCTTTTTATTTTATTATTATTTTTTTTTTATGTTGCGTCCATTCCTGTTCTCTTGTGATTGTATTTCGTAAATGATAGGGAAGCATAAGTTGTCGCATGAAGCCGAATGATAATAATGATAATAAATAAATGAAAAAAAAGAGAAAAAGAAACACGCAGCTACACTGACAAATCTTCTTTACATGAAATGACTTCTCTCTCTCGGCCATTCATCGAAGGCGAGAAGACCGGCTAATCACAAGGCAAGAACGGGGCTCAAGGAATCAAATCCGCATTTTAACTCGAGCTTCAAAACTTCACCAGTGTACACAGGCTTCCAAATATTCCCCTCACCTAATTCTCCTTCGCCACCTCCCCATTCCCCTTCCTCTTATTCCCTTTCCTTCCCCTCACTCCCCTCCCTTCCCTTCCCCTCACTCCCCTCCCTTCCCTTCCCCTCGCTCCCCTCCCTTCCCTTCCCTTCCCTTCCCCTCACTTCCCTCCCCTCCCCCTCCCCCACCCCCCCGAGCGCATCCCGTCGAAAGGGTGGGCTCCCAGACGCCTCCCTCGCCAGGACCAGAGGATGAGCATCCATTCAAAAAACATCAAGCCTTAACTCCTCGTCCTCAGTCAATCTAGGAAACCTTTACGACTCCCGCGCATCCCGACTAGTTCATGCACCGAACGCCATGCGCAAAACCTACTCACCGACGGAAACGGCCCCAAAAAACGGGCGACTTTCACAGCGCACTCCGAGATGACAGCCACGCCACGATCAGACCCGACCTATAACCCTCTCTCTCTCTCTCTGGCACTGAGGGACCAGGACTCTCTCATTGCACTCAAGGTTACATCACTCGGCAGACACTTACAGCGCTTGGCTCGTCTGCCCCCTCTCCCCTCGCGCCGCCCGCCCATGCCTTTCCCCTCAGGGCATTCCCCTTCTTCCATAGGCGTTCAATGGCTCATCTTTACAATGCTTTTGTGATTTTTTTTTTTCTGTTTTCTTATTCACCTGGTAAAAATCTCCTGGTTTTATTTGTCCGTTCCCGCACGTGGCCGGCAACATATCTATAGCAACACAGCCGTCCTAATTTCAAAATTTAACAAGAACTGATCTGCGGACATTATACTTAGCATATTAACTATTCCTAGGCTGTAATTCTCATACCTAATACTGCTGTAAATGACCATAGCTACTCCCCCCTCCCGGTCCCTACCTGTTAAAAGTATAGCCTTTCCTGAAAACCAGCATTTTTCGAGAAAAAAAAAAACATTCCAAAATTCGAGCACGAGTTCCTTCCGAGAATCCGCAGTGCCTTTTACGTCTCCCGAACGTCGCACTCTCGCCCCCCAACGTCGTCCCAATGACGTCACATAACGAAGGGCGGAGACTGCACGCCCATGCGTAATGTCACACCCCAGAACCATCAGAGAGGACGTGGAACCAATCTCTCGTTCGCCTTCCTGCACGGGGGTTTGATCGCAATAAGCACCCCGCCGGCAACGAAGCCCAAGTTCCGAACCCCGGCAGAGTATCGGACGCGGATAATAACCGATCCCGACGGAGGGCGGGGCGGCGCGGGCAGCGTTTCCGTCACGTGCGAGGTGAAATCTCCGTCGCAGCCGATTGTCTTCCTTCCTTCTCGAGACCGCACGCGTTACAGGTGTCAAGAGGAGGTCCTTGTCACCCTGAACACCTTGCATGTGGGTGTGGGGGGGAAGGGGGGGAGGGCGAAGATTTTTATTCAGAAAAAAATATTTTCTGGATAAACTTGGGTAAGATTCTGAACCACATCGTATACAAGAAGTTGATGGAAGACAAGCAAATAGCTTACAGAAACCGTCAAAGGAGCATATGCCAAAGGAGGAGAAAAAGAAGAAAAGATGCAGTAGCGAACGCGTAAGAGAAAAAAAAGACAAATTTCAAGCAGAAAAAACGTCATAAAATTAACAGAAGCGCCGCTCTGCTTCCGACAAGAGGAGGAAGAGAGAGAGAAAAAAAGAAAAGATGCAACAGTAGACCGCAGAGAACACACACAATAAAAAAAAAATGCCGACACAACTTTCATACAACAGAAAAAGGAAAAAAAAACGAACACAGCTTTAATCCCTTTCACGAAGCCGAGAGCAGCGCCGCCCTCCCTCCGCGCTGGCACACACGCGCGCGCGCCTCCGCAAAGAAGACGTCTCCCCTCGAACCCAGCTTCGCCCTCGCATTAATCTAATAATTGGCCGAGCATTCGTCCTAATCTCAGCCCAGGCCAAGACTGACGAGGGATCATTACGTGCAGGACCTTGAAGGATGAGGGAGGAGTCCCGACAGAGAGCTCACGTGCCGGAGGAGCGCCCGCACGCCCGCCCGCCTCTCGCGCTCACCCTCCAGTGCCTCGCGCGGTGCCTTACCTCCCGCCCCCCCTCGTCCTCTCCAGCTTCCTCCTGCCTCTTCCTTTAATTCTCTCTCTCTCCTTTTTCTTTTATTCTTCCTCTTCCCTTCATTTTTCCCTCCCCCTCACCTTTTTCCTCTTCCCCCTTTTCCCTTCCTCTTCTTCTTCCTCTTCCTATCTCTCTCTCCCTCTCTTGTTCCCTTTCCTCATCCTCTCCCTTTCCTTTTCCCTTCCTCTTCCTCTTCCTCTCCCTTTCACAATCCTTTCCCTCTCCCTTTCTCCTCCCCCCCTCTTCCTCTTTCTCTCCCTCTCCGCCCACCAGTGAAGGAGCCGCAACACGTCGCTGATTAAACATAATTATCTTTTAGTGTCTGGCTCTCAAACAGCACGCGACGGTGCATCCCCGTGTCGTAGGCCAATGCCACGTTTCCCTTTGTCTGTCTGTCTGTCTGTGTGTCTCTTCCTCTCCTTCTCTCTTTCCCTCCCAGCCCTCCTCTCACCTCCATTTTCTATCCCCTCTTTCTTACTCCTTTACTCTCCTGCCTCCTCGCAACCCTTCTTTATTCGCACTCCTAATAACACCCCCTTATTCGCACTCCTAACACCCTTCCCTTATTCGCACCCTTCTCGACACCCATGCCTTATTCGCACTCCTCTCACTCATTAGCAACCTTCTCGACACCCATGCCTTATTCGCACTCTTCTCACTCCTTATTCGCATCCTTATCAACACTCTTCCTTTATTCGCACTCCTCTCCCTCCTTATTCGCCCAAACGCACCAATAAACACACCGTTATGAAGCCTGTGACAGTGCTTACGGTCGTGACATCATCGCCAGGGGTCGTTACGTGGACGCGGTCGGCTGAGTGTTATTAGAAAGTTGGTAATAAGGTTGGTGTCCAGTACAAATTGACGGAGGAGAGGGGAGAGGGGGGAAGGGGGCAGGAGGTATGGGGAAGGGGGAAGGGGAGGAGGGAAGGAACTGGATTACTATGCGGATATTGTAGCAATTGTGGGTGATCGAAAGTGGTAAAAATAGTTCTATTTTATTCTGCCTTTCTGTTTAAATGTCTGTATTTGTCTATCTCTGTCACATTCGCAATCACGAATATCGTATATATAACGTTCGCCCACAACACCACACCCACACACACACACTCCTGTAGATATAGTACTGTACTTGCATATGTAAGTGAAGCATGAATGAGCTTGAGACAAACTTCGAGTCATGATACGGCGCCATTAATACACACGGGCTTAGTGACTGGTCAATCTGTACGATCATGGGCGTTAGTGCTTGTGTGTGTGTGTCTGGGTGAGTGCGTGTGCATGTGCGTGTGCGTGTGCGTGTGCGTGTGCGTGTGTTCGTGTTTGCGTGTATATATCTGACGTTTCAAATGCTTGACGGAAGTTACCGATTCAATCCTTCAATCACCGTGAGTGAGCGTGTGTGAGGATGACAAACGTTAGTGTGAAGAGGTAAGGGTGAGCGTGAGTGAATGAGCCAAGAGCGTGAGGGTAAGGGATTGAGCGTTAGTGTGAGGAAGTGTGAGTGAAGACGACATGAGCTTAAATGAGAGGGGATTCGGGAGAAAAAAAAAAGCGTGAATGTGAGGGACTGTGAGTGGAGGCAAAAATCGCGAGTGAGAGTGAATGTGTGGGAGAGGCAACAGCGTGAGTGAGAGGGAACGGATGTGACAGAGACAAAAGGAATAAATGAGAGGAAATATAAACGGACGATTCAACAGCGTGAACGAGGGACTGTGGGAACGAGAATGTGAATGTGAACGTGGAAGCGAGACAAAATTGTGAATGACAGGGAACAGGAATAAGAGAGAGAGAAAAAAAAGGCGAATGAGAATGAATATAAACGAACGATAAACCGCGAATACGAAGGGAGTGTGAGGGCACGAGGTAAAATCGTGAGTGACAGGGAATACGTGGTAATAGAGGCGCAAAAAAAGGCGAGAATGAATATAAACGGACAATTCAAAACCATAAATCCGAGAGGGTGTGAGGGTGTGAGGGAATGTGAGGGAGCAAGACAAAATCGTGAGTGTGAGGCGTGACTGACAACAACAAAAAAATGGAATAAAAGATACCAAAAACAAATGAAAACGGATGAAAAAAAAAGATGAAAACGAATGAAAAAAAAAGGAGTTAGAGATAACAAACACTCGAATGAGAAAATATAACCGATTCAAAACCGCGAATACGAGAGGGAGGGAGTGCGAGGGAGCATAAGGGAGTTGTGAGTGCGCGGGGCAAAAGCGTGCGCCGGAGTAGCCTCGGAACCTCCACGCGAAGGACTCCTCCTCCTCCCCCACCCCCACCCCCCCAACAAGGTCAGGCGCATGATTCAGGGCTTGCAACATGGTTATTTCTGTCGCCCCCCCCCCTCCCTTTCCCCCGATCTGTCCCTCACTCTGTCCCTTCCTGATCCTTCGCTGTTTTCGAAGAGGATTAAGAAAAGGAAGACAAAGAAAAAAAAAGAATAAAACAGAAAGGGGTAGAAAGAGGAGGAAGAGAACAGGAGCAAAGGCAAAAAAGAAGAAGAAATAGATATAAAAATATATTTCTTAAACCCTCACCCTCTCACAAATCCCTCTCAACATTCCTCCTAATCTGACGACGAGAAAAGAGCAATGTCGCGAGAAGCAGAAAAAAGAAGAAAAAGAAGAAAGAAGAAGAAGAAGAATTAGCCAGCAAAAGAAAGAAGCAGAAGGAGGAGAAGCAGAAGGAGGAGAAGCAGAAGGAGGAGGAGGAGGAGGAGGAGGAGGAGGAGGAGGAGGAGGAGGAGGAGGAGGAGGAGGAGGAGGAGGAGAAGAAGAAGAAGAAGAAGAAGAAGGAGAAGAAGAAGGAGAAGAAGAAGAAGGCGAAGAAGAAGAAGAAGAAGGAGACGACGAAGAAGAAGAAGAAGAAGGAGGAGGAGGAGGAAGATAAAGAAGCAGAAATAGTAAAATAAGAAAAAAGAAAAAAGGCAGAAAATGACATCCGCGAGAGGAGTGACGCAAGAGGACGAAGGAAAAAAAAAGCCCCGGGGGGAATCCAACGCACGGGTCCTCAGGCGCCTCGACGACACCTGGAGAGAGAGAGAGAGAGAGAGAGAGAGAGAGAGAGAGAGAGAGAGAGAGAGAGAGAGAGAGAGAGAGAGAGAGAGAGAGAGAGAGAGAGGAAAAGGAAAAGGCAAAGGCACACGGGTCCTGAGGCGCCTCGACACCTGGACACTAATCCCGAGCGAGACCGACGCCTGGGAACGTACCTCAGCAACTCGACGGAGTCACGTGATCCGAGTGCGACGCGGGATGCGATCCGTCCCTTCGGCGGCGGAGGTTTCAGGGAGGGGGGGGGGGGGGGGAGAGGGAGAGGAGGGGGAGGTTTCTGGGAGGGAGAGTGGGAGGGGGGGAGGGAGAGAGGGGGAGAGGGAGAGAGAAAGTGAAAAAGTGAGAAAGGGAAAGAAAGTGAAAGAAAAAGTGAGAAAGAGAGGGAGACAAACAGAGAGAAAGTGAGAAAGAGAGAGAGAAAAAAGAAAGATCAGACAGAGACAAAGACACACGGACATCGAAAAAGTACAAAATAATCCCCAGGCCCTGATTACGGACCACCGTACACGGACGCTGTGATGCAAATGGACTCCAAAGACGAAAGGGAGAGTCAGTGTCCCGCAGAAGCCTTGCCGTTAGCACGTAACCGCACAGATCATAAAATCCTAATACACCAAAAGAAAGAAAAATAATAATCTATTTCTTAAATACAAAGAGGGTGGGACAATACATATAAACATCGTTATAAACATGAAACAAAAGGATAAGGATAGAAAAAATGATAATCAAATAAGTTGACACACAAAAACAGTTAAAAGAAACGAAGATAACTGATAGAGAGGTGATAAAAATCAAGATAACAGGTGAATACAGTAAAATATACGTAGGTGATGGATAAGGAGATAAACAATTAGGTGAATGA